CAAAAAACCGCCTTTAATCCTATTTTCTGTGTATTTTTAGCCCGCGGTTAATTAAGGGGAGGTGCTCTCCAAAGCGGTGGCATGAAAGGTGATGTGTTGCGTGCTCTGACTTCTTGCAGTGCACCTACATCACGATTGAGCAAGTCGAAAAGACCCACGCCGTGGTCCTGAGCCGCCCCGCGTGGCTCTGGGGTGCAGAGATGGGGGCCAACGAGCACGGTGTGTGCATCGGGAACGAGGCGGTGTGGGGTAGAGAGGAGATCGGTGACGACGAAGCTCTCCTCGGCATGGACCTCGTAAGGTTTGCATGGGCTGTTTTGGTAAACGGTGCTGAATTTGGAATTTAGTTTTGAAACATTTGAGTTACATGGTGAAACACCCACTTTCAGAAGACAGGTCTGTCTCTTCTGCTGTTCTAGCCATGGTTAAAAATAAGTATTTCTTGGCACAGGCATTAGCCCTCTGCTAGAAGCCATGAGCCGGTGAGAGGTATCAGGCACTAGAACAGAATCTCTTAAGGAAATCATCAAGCGTTTTTCTCTCTACGAAGTTTATACTAAACTGAAACAAGACTCTTAATGATCACGGCTGGACTTCAGGAACTAGCATTTGGACCTTTTTCTTGAGTCTGTACTCATTTCCTGTTTCCCCCATCTTTCACACACATATTTTTAAGTTTCAGTCTTAGTTGCACATCTCCATGTAAAAATGACACCTTCTTGTGGCTGCCTTACTCTGTGCCAGTGCAACTCTGGTTAACCTACAGCAGTCACTCAATTCTTCTTGGTCCTGTTTCCCCCCAGTCCAATACCCTCACGGGACTTGCAGGTGGTTCCTTGGAGCCCTCTCCCTACCTGTCTGTATTTCCATTTGGTTGTTTTTCCCCATGTCGAGGACGTAGAGGACCCACTTCAAACAAGCCCTTTAAGTGACTTGCTCCTTTCTCTTACCAGATCATACAAGCACCATGTACATACAGAAATAGCATTCCAAATCAATTTGCAGTAGCTGGATAGTTGTATGTAAAGTTTCTCGTTCCAAAGATAACATCTTCCTTTTGTTTTAGGCTTGGACTCGAGAGAGCGGACACAGCTGAAAAGGCTCTTACTGTCATAGTCGATTTGCTTGAAAAATATGGACAGGGAGGAAACTGTATGGAGAGCCAGATGGTATTTACATACCATAACAGTTTTCTGATAGCTGACAGAAAGGAAGCATGGGTGCTGGAGACATCAGGAAAATACTGGGCAGCAGAAAAAATAGAAGGTATGGGTGATGCTCCTCATTTTATACATTTCAAATGCAATGACAATTAGCAGTTCTCCACTTCTCATTTACCATTTCATTAAGGCATCAAACTAGCCTCCAGGTATGTACATGGGCCTGTAAGCAACAGGAGTTTCTTCCTAGGGGCATCAGTGTGGGGTGGCTAGCGGCTTCAGAGGAGCTGAGTCGCAAGGGGCCTTTTCAGAGTCAGAAATGACCAATCCTGCACTTGGAAAACGGAGGACAGCAAGGAAGTCAGCATGAGAATGACAGCAGTATGTATGGTTTTAAGGATGGTGGCAATCGATGACAATTTCATTTGGTGACAGGGCAACGTGACAGGATCGGTGCATTGGGCCCTGACATGGCTGATTGTTCCAGTGGACTTAGAAGGACAAGCTATGTCTGTGGGGGTCTAAGAGGAAGAACGTAGAGACGGGAATAATCAGGACAGAACCTAAAATATGATGTTGGCAATAGAAGTAAATGAGTCAGAACTGAGTGGCAGTGGAATTTCAATCAGAAGGACACATACAGCCAGGGAGAGAGGGCCAAAAATAAACCACAGGACTCACAGGTC